TTAGGCCATGCCTGCGCGATGGGGGAGTCGCGCAGGGCCAGCAGTTCCTTCCTGGAATACAGTCAGTCCACAACGGGAAGTCCAGCAGCAGAGTGGGGGGGAGGGAAAAAACCTCCTGATAGTCAAAGTCAGGGTCGTAGATGGATGACGAGAAAGCAGCAACAGTTTATTGTTCTTGTTGTCTCCCATAAGGGGGGGGGAATGGCAAAATCAAAGTCCGCCGGGCCCCACCCGCACAAACCTCCAGATCCACCTCCAGATCCACGCCGGGCCCACACCATCTCCACAGAGGCCGGCTGCAAGTTCTTCTGCTGGAGGGCCTCAAACCGAAACAGCCCTCCCCTGGCCCTCAGCCTCCATGAGGCATGGGCCCAGGCGTTCACGCTCGCCTGGCACTCACCGCCGAGCCCTGTTCCTCCGCGGGAGACGCCAAGCTGCGTCTCCCGCTGGGCCTCGTCCTTCAACCGGGCCGCCGTACCGCTGTACCGCCCGGGCCGCTGTGCCGCTGTGCCGTCTGTGCCGCTGTGCCGCTGTGCCGCATCCCCCTGGGCTGCTGGGCTGCTAGGCTGTTGCAAGGCTGCCGCTAGGCTGCCGCTGGGGCCGCTAGGCCACCGGGCTGCCAGGCCGCATTCCCCGTCGTGCCGAGATCTCTCCAAACCGGGGTCTCCACCCACGGCTCCAAACCGGGGTCTCCACCCACGGCTCCGCAGGATATAAGCTGTTCTAAATAAAGCTGCCTTTTGCAACTGACTGATGATTTTGTCAGTGCCAATGTGTTCAAGTGGTGGTCCAGAAGTTTTGGGATTGCACCGAAGGTGCCTATTATTGGTACTATCTTTGCTTTATTATTATGGACTCTGATCACACTTAAAATAAAGTAATACAATTCTTCAAAATATGGAATAGTCCCTAAATAGAATAAGGTTGGCTTCAGCCTGGTGGTAAAATATTATAGTATGACTCAGCAATAATGAGTCATACTATAATCGTTCAATAAAACAATAAAATCTGAAATTTTATCTTCCCATTCTAGGATAGCTGTAGATGGTCCCTTTGGTACTGCTAGTGAAGATGTGTTCAGTTATGAAACTGTGATGCTTGTTGGAGCTGGCATTGGGGTTACCCCTTTTGCATCAATCCTCAAATCTGTGTGGTACAAGTACTGCAATAATGCCATGGACCTAACACTCAAAAAGGTTTGTCCCCGATCTGTTCCTGAGCATTCAACATTTGTTTTCTAGCATTCGATAGCATATATAAAAATGGGGAGCCATATACGCTCAGCTGTGATTCATTCATGAGTATGTCTATGTGCAAAACTAGTACTTCACATCCAAATATTCTCCACCCTTCTACATCTTTATCAGATGTCTTGAACTTTACAATTTCCAATTAATATGGCTGAGTTGAAGAAGACAGATTTATATTATAATATAATGCTTAAATATATATAGGGAGAGAGACTGTGTAAGTTAGGAATTATCCTCACTTGTCTCTAACTATAGCATAAACTTGTCCCAATAATTGGTTTTTTTTCTGCTATGTTCTCGTATTTTTTTTATTTTACCCCAGCTAATATCAAAAGCAGCTTAACATAATCATTTTCTTCCTGATTTTAAAAGTGTTTCTCCCTTTTTCTAACACAATTTTCTATGAAAAAATTAGGCATTCTTCACTGACTATTTGGTTGCTGATGCAGTTAGCAATTGGCATTTGCCTGCTCCTATTGCTCCAGGCATAACGACAAAAAACTTCCGAAGTTGGAATGGAGCAGAGAAAATGGCACTTTCCCAAGAGAACTAAGTTAAATACGATACTACACAAATGATAACATGCAAATTGGAACTGCATGTGAGTCTTATTGGCCAGTCACAGACATTTCTAGTGAGTCAGAAATAGTAATAATAAGAACAGTGAAAAAATATGGTCACACAAAATCCTTATTGGTAAAAGCCACAGAAAAGCAGCAATGCTTCCAGAGGTGACAAAATCAGCAAGATCCAGATGACAGAGACTACCTATTTTGGCTTAGTGAGATTGAACATCTGCCTGAGTGATGTCTGACACTTATCAAGTATTCAAGCTCACTATAAGTAAGAGTTTAGTGTTCTTTTGAAAATGCATTAGACTGGCTTTTAAAACATTAGCTTATTGATCTCTTGAAAGAATGATAATTAGGACAGTTGAAACTGGGAAAGACAGCTGGGTTTTTCCAGTTGTATGTTGATGTTTCTATTACCTGAATGAAAAAAATCAAGTCATATTTTAAATATTTCTGTTCCTTTCACTTTTATGCTAGGTTGATATCTATATTATTATAGCCAAGGGATTGTCACATGTGACAGTACTTTGTGGGTTTAAGAGAAAAAAAAGTGAACGAATTCACCTAACTAGAGAGGATCTAATAATGTGAATATGTTCAATTTTATTCCTTCCAGATCTATTTTTATTGGCTCTGCCGAGATACCCATGCCTTTGAATGGTTTGCTGATCTCTTGCAATCAGTAGAGACTCAAACGCAAGAAAAGAATCAGACAGATTTTCTCAGCTACAACATCTATCTTACTGGCTGGGATGAATCTCAGGTAACTATTGAATCAGAGCAATTGAATTTTTAGGAAAGGCAGTCAATCACTGCATATCCCCTATGCCAGTGATGGCAAACCTTATAGAGACTGAGTGCCCAAAAACTACCCCTGTCCCTTCCTCCCTACCCACTCTGCCCCCACCCCCGCCCTCCTGCAGGGCCACCCACCGCCTCCACGGCCCACCGCAGCATATCACCCAGGCAGCCCAGTAGTGCCATGGCATCATCTGCGCGCGATGGAGCGCGAGGGCGGAATCTTTGCCCAGCTGCCATGTCCTTGGCTGTGCTGCTCCATGCGGGCCGCACTCGGGGGTGATTCTCCTCCAAGGGGATTGGGGGGAGGGGGCTGCGGGGGGGAGGCGGGGCTGGGGAGATGGCGCACGTGCCCACAGAGAGCGCTCTGAGTGCCCCCTCTGGCACACATGCCAAAGGTTTGCCACCATTGCCCTATGCAATGGGATCTGGATGGTGGGACCAGATCCAGAGTTGCTATTGCCAGAGTTGCTACTGCCCATGAATCCAACAGGCTCTTATTGGCCATTTTCACTAGTTGTCCCATTATGAATTCCACCACTGAGGCACCACCACAAATATTTGAAAAGTAAATAAGGACAGATGGCGGCAGATCTAGATATACCAACAGATCGGCATTTTCTCGTGGATAATTGTGATCACACTTTTCTAAGACTAAAGTGTTATTGCTGAGAATCAAAGGCAAGTGGGTATCAACAAACATTCATGCAAAGCATTCAGGCAAGCATATTTATTACAGCAATGCAAATCTTTCAAAAAAGGTTCTTCAGAATGCATGGAAGTATGTATGAAGCTGCTTTTTGAAAGGTTGATGCAGCAGCTAGCAGCATCTTTTTCCAGGCAAGCATGGCTGCTTGAAAAGCTGCTTCAAAAGCTGCTCCGGTTGTCTTCTCATGCATATAACAGTAACAGTCATTCTGTTGAGTCATGCTTGTGCAGGGAGAACTAGGAACAGTTTCCCCGGGGGGTGGGAAGGAGGAAAGAGCTGTGCATATCTGTAACTATACAACAGAAAGAGCAGCTTGGAAGCATTATGCATTCTGAGCATTTGCATAGCTCTCATATCTGTAAAAACAAGTGTTTTGTTTGTGTGGGTACATGTGTTACCAATGAAGGAGAATATTTGTAGCCCAGGGTTGCAATGAGGGGTCCTTGGTGCTCTCTGAGCTTGCTTGTTTTCTTGCAGATGTTTCATTACCCTTATAGATGTTTCAGTAGAAAATATCATACGATTTTTATTCAAGGAGAGAGGCTTTCTACTCATTCCTTCATCTACCATCTGAATTAGAAATAAGTAAATTATATACCAGTGGTGGCGAACCTATGACACGGGTGCCAGATGTGGCACTTGGAGCCCTCTCTGTGGGCACACATGCCTTTGCCCCAGCCTTGCCTCTCCCTATGAACCCCTCCTCACCAGCAGCCCTCCTGGAGAAGAGTCACCCCCGAGCGTGGCCCACGTGGAGTAGTGCAGCCAAGGACATGGCAGCCAGGCAGCGTAGACAAGACTCTGTCCTCATGCCCCATCGTGCACAGTTGATGCTGCGGGGCGCGGGCAGAGGGCGTGGCTGCCATGGCTCTGCTGGGCGATTTGCGGCGGGCCCTGGAGGCGATGAGTGCCCCTGCGGGCAGGCGGGGTGGGGGCAGGGTGGGGGTGGGGCAGGGGGTGGAGTGGGGCGGGGCTAGTTTTTGGGCATTCGGTCTCTAAAAGGTTCGCCATCACTGTTATATATTGTATGTTGATTATATGCCATTAAGTCTGTCAACTCTAAGTGACTATGGAGATAGATTTTCTCCATGAAAATGATATATTTTAAGTGGGATTAGTGTAATGTTATCTTTGCATGACAAATTTTTGTTTCAACTCCTTGTTTCTGAGGCTAGCAGCCTTTTGAAAGACATACAGTATGACTCAGTTCTTTCTGAAAGTATAGGAAAATTTCTATTTCTTCCCTCTAATTTAAAAGAAACCCTTCAAATTTTGCTTACTACATGCATTCTAGCTACAAGATTATTAGGAGAAAAACTTGTCATTTGAAAAAGAAAGATGAATAGTTTTTCTTTTAAAGGAAAGCAGTGTAAGCTGTGGTTGTGATTTATACAGTCTAGAACCCCTCTTTGAGGGAGCTGGGTGGTTTAGAAATATAATAAATAAATAAAATAAAATAAATTTATATGTTTGGGTTATTTTTAAAATGACTGTGGGGTAGAATATGATAGAATGAAAATTATCTGCATGAAGATGACTACAGTTCAGTAAATATGCATTGCATGGTAAGGGATCTTCTGCACCGGGAGTTTTAAGGTGCTTGTCTTCTGTGCTGGATAGAAATAAAACCAGCTTAAGAAATTGCTTTTCAGATTTGACAACAAAGGCAGCCAGGTATTCTGTCTAGCAATATTTTCTTTGATTAGTGGACTGCCCTGGTCTTTTATCCCTCTCATCCATCTCGGAAAATAAGCACCAGTTAGTTTCATTTCATGTATGTAGATCTTTTGGGAGAGCCTTCCTTGATTGACATTCCTTCATATTCCACACTTTCCTACCCAGTGCATCCACTGGTCGATCGGAGTTTTACCAATCTTCTTGTCATTTGAGCTCTAATGGAACTTTTATCAATTTCACTCAGTTAAAAAGAGGAAAGTCCACCATCTGAACCCTCCACTTGTGAGCCTGCCAGAAGAAACAAAAAGTGTCTTGGCTTCGTTGGTCACTATTTTTTTTTCTTTTAAAAAAACCCAGACTTTTACTGCATCAAAGAAAAAGAAAAAAGCACAGAGGTTCAAAACCCATCAGGGGACAGTACCTTCAGAACTGGCCAGGACAAAATGGTCAAAAGGGAGTGGGCATTCCTACCACAATGCACAGTAGTCAAGTGGTGGGGAGTCATTTGCCAACAATTACATGAAATACTCCAAAAGACCCATAAATGCTGCTTGCGCAACCAGAAGTAAGACAATACTCTTCTTTTATGCAAAGCAAGGAACATTGGGTTGTTTGCAATAATTAGATCAAAAATGACATCATGCATTCTTAGCCTCAAGAAGCAGTATACTACACTCACCTTAGGGGCAAGCCATCTTAGGAAATATTGAGAGGCCTCTTCCTTAGTTTTTCCTCCAACGTATACAGTACATATTTGTTGGTTTGGTGTTAGTTTTTCTCTGCTTTGTTGGATACTATTGGGTTATTTGGAGGTTATCAATCGGAACCCATCTCTCTCTCTCTTTCTTTTATATCAAACACAGTAGCTCTGCTTATACTTCCCAATTTATTTTCTTCAATTGGAAGTTGTATTGTATTTCAACTTCTGTGGGCTGCGCTGGCTAGGAATTGCAACTGGAAGACAAAATGTTACATAACAATCTTTTAGTTTGTTACAAAAAGTTACCTAACAATCTTCTAATAAGGCTATTTCTTGCTTTTAATTTTCTAGGCGACTCATTTTACAATGCATCATGAGGAAGAGAAAGATGTGATTACAGGCTTGAAGCAGAAAACTCAGTATGGAAGACCAAATTGGGAAAATGAGTTCAAAACAATTGCAGGCCAACATCCAAAGTAGGTTTCTTGTGCAATTATTAAATTTTATGATATCAATATATCATTACTTTTGTTTCATTGGTTAGTAAGTGCTGGTTCCTGTTAATTTTTGCCATTTTGGACTTTGTGCAAAACCTATGGTGGGATCTGCAGTTGAAGTTGTGAGGTGTGAAAGATCAAATCCATACATTAAGGTTCAATTTAATTGATTTATTGCTAAAAGCTTATGCACAGGAATCTTTTCAACTAAGGTCAGCACCTGGTTATAGTTAGATAAAGATAATGGTAACTGAGGAGGGATTGGACTTAGTTTGTGGTTACATAACGATTTTAGGCTGATCCCTCCTTTTACTCCTCCCCGGCTCTGCCAGTGCTTCTCCTATAGAAGTGGGGGGAGGAGTTAAAAGACTGGCTAGCCTGAAATCACTGAAGTGGAAGAAGCGATATAAAGCAGATTCCCCCCCCCCTCAAACCTTGAAGTGCTCATCTACTTGTTCGGTACTGAGTCTAACGAGATTCTTGTAAATAGGCAAGTAGCAATAAAGTTACTGTTCTGATCAGCTTCAGTGTCATTCTGGTTCCTTGCACCTGACACAACCTAAGAATGTTGCTACCAGTGTTAAAGGGTGAATTTACCTTATGAGAATTTTGATAAACATAAGGCTGTGCATATTATAATGCTTGTAACACAGTTCAGTTTCCTATTAAATATTCCTACTTATATTATATTATATTAAATTTGGAACCTAAATTCCTGTTTTTCTCTTTATACCTTCAGTTCCAGGGTTGGTGTTTTCCTATGTGGACCTGAAGCCTTGGCTGAAACTCTAAATAAAATGTGCATTAATAATTCAGAAGCTGATCCAAGAGGCATACACTTTATATTCAACAAAGAAAATTTCTGAAGACATACTTACAAAATTTAATTCAGCCATGGTGAATTAATTGCAATTAATGAAAAAATAATATTTCTAAAAGTTTCAGGTGTGTTTGATATTATGTACTTTAGAGGACGAATATGCAATTTTAAACTGATCCTTTTTTAATCCCATGGCAAGACTTCTTAAAAGGTTTAGGATATATTAGCATTGTCAAATACAGATTGAGTTCATATATTGTGTTAAACCATAAGGGATTTGCATTGTTTTAGGTTTGTGTGTAATCCAAATATACTGTGGATTACCTATTAAGGTTTATGGCAAGCTAGGCAATGTGCAGACTATGGACTCTTTTGACTCCCCCAGCCTGCCAAAATCTGATCAAGAGTTAGTTCCTTATTCAACCACAGAACTCATTGATTTTTAACCAATCACTGTCTCTCAGTATCACCTATCTCAATAGGTTGCTACTAGTAAACAAAGGACAGAGAGTGTATACAAGCAGCACTAAAACTGTAGCCCAAATACTCTAAGTCAGGGGTCCCCAATCCCCGGTCCATGGACCAGTACCAGGCCGCGGCTTGCCAGCAACTGGTCTGCACAAACAAGCAAAGCCCCATCCGGGGGATGCAGGCAGCACACAAAACCACACACCCTCCAGTCCTCGGAAAAACCTCCCTCCATGGAACCGCTCCCTGGTGCCCAAAAGGTTGGGGACCTCTGCTCTAAGGTGCTCAATTACAATGTCTTACTCATTATAAATCTCTTGAGGCTATATAAACAAAATTTTGCAATCACTGCTTCAAGCACTTAAAGATGCATCTGGTGTGACTCCTAGAATAGAAATAGCACACCTGAAAATGAATGAGGACAGGATTGCTAATGCTCACCTTTGGCTTAAACGTCATTTCTTCCCAGCAGGACTAATTCTATTAGTTCTGGTAGACCAATTTCAATTTTCCTGCTAAAAATAATGGTGCAGAAACTGACTCACTATGGCTTACATGCAAACTGTTCTTCTTGGAATATTCTCAAATTAGGAGAATTATTAGAGAAAGGGTTTAAAATGCTGAATATCCAAATGAGATTAGCCATATTCCAGTCCACATTAGAGTTTGTATAATATATCCCAGATGGAAATCAAGAAGATATCTAGTTGTACTAGTTTCTGCTGCCCATTAAAGAGCATTTTAGAGCTAGGTTTATTATTTTACTCTGCACACTTCTTAGCCCTCATGTTTAAAAGAACTTGTCCTTGTTGGAAATATTTTATTAAGACCATCTAATATTTGCCACTACACTTCTCTGATTACCTGGGCAATTGGTAAATGATGATTGTTTCTGATATAATTAACTGGACAAAATGAAAATGTTCTTATTGCCTTCTTCTTGTTAAATTATGTAATATTGCTAATGTTGCCAAATTTTGCATAGCAGCAATAAGATTGGCAGACAAATAACTAACACTCCTGGATATAGAAAAACCAATTGAAGGATCTGAGGTTTTTTTTAACCATTATCATTGATTGGATAGTGCTTAATTGCATATTTACCCTGATCACTGATTGAACAAATTTATTTCCTGTTTTGTTATTAATTTTATGAAATCCTAGCAGTTCGTTATAAAATCTACTGGGATCTATTGGTTTGCTGAAATGTATTTTTAATATACTAATAAGCCACTAGTTTAGCATTTAGTAAATATATTTCTTAGCAGTATTTCACTACTAAAGGTATTAATACAGTACTTATTAACCTCTTAAATGTTATTTTCCTTAGCATCCATTAACTGAATTCATATTCTGCTTTAGCTCCGCTTATTTGTATTTTATGCACTCATTTACTTATATTTTATGTATTCTTTCTGTTCTTCTTAATCCTTTTTCATATTTTATAATTTTTGATGTAAAGCTGAATAAAATACTAGTCAATGAATTTTGAATGTACTAAACTTGACTGAAATGTGTTCAGTATTTAAATTTTTTATAATGTTAACAATTCTGGAACATCATACAATATAATAAAATGTTGGTATAGTGTGTTCCTTCCAATGCCCATTTATGCATGTCTATTTAGAATTCAGTAGCAATATATTCTGGATTCAAAGGTTATCGATATAGAGTTCTACAAAGTATGTAAATAAGTGCAGCATAAAGCATATACATAAAGCTCTTCTTTTCAAATTATTAAAACAGTTTATTAGTACTTTTCAGTGTATTTTCTTAAAATAAATGCTATTTTTTCCAAATATGTTAACATGGGACTAATGCATTATGGGAATATTATCTTAGATTCTTTGAGAATGTGATAACGATGGCAGATGAAGTTTTCCTTTTTAAACTTTCTACTTAAATTGAGAGTTCTGCTTCAGTAAAATTTGTTATTTTCAATTTACTAAAATAGTCACACCCAACTAACTTCCTTCTGCTTCCCAGATTTCTGATTTATTATGTTTAATGTTAAATAAAAAATAATTTTAATTCAACTGTGTACATGAGGGTAATTTTGCAAAAATTAAAGATTATTGTACAATGCCTATTGTAGAGATTTTAAACACACCCAAAATTTGGTTTTCCCCTAACTTTTATAAATGTGTTGCTTTTTACCTAGGGTTACCAGATGCCCAGTGAATGGAGATATAGTCTTAAAATCAAATATAATTTGAGTATCTTTTTTATTTATTTTTTACTGTTTTCACAACAGTAATTATTCAAACTTTCATGTGTTGTGACTTTGTAAATTGTCTGCTCCCTTCTTTCTCTCATCTATCAATAGACTTGACAGCCTAGATTTATATTATTTATTTCCTGATTCAATCGGCTTCAATCCAGCACCTTCAAATCATTGTGGTCTGTAGATCACATGACATGTAATACATTTGTATGGTGAAATTTGAAAAGTGCATCATTGTTGATTCAATATTATTGCTAGAATGTGTTCTTGAAAATAAAGATTTGTTGGAAGAATATTACAATTGAAAAACCAGTCTGTAATAGTATGCAGGAATGATCTTGAGAGTCTAGGTGAAGAGATGCTGCCTAGGGCAAGGGTCCCCAACCCCTGGTTTGCAGACCAGTACTGGGCTGCATGCATTTAAGAACCGGGCTGCACAGCTGGAGGTGCGCTGGAAGCGTGTCTTCCACCTTCAGGAATGCGGCAAATCTGCAGGAGTCTGGGCAGGGGCAGGAGAGTGGCAGGGAAGAAGCCGTCTTGCTCAGTGCAAGGTCCTCCAATGGACGCAACATCTGAGCTCCACATCCATCCTCCTCTCCCTCCTCCTCCTGTCTCTCCTTCTGCCTCCTACTTCTCTTCCTGGTCCTGCTCCCTCTTTCTCCTGCTGCTTCTTCTTTCTCCTCCTCTTCTTCCTCACTTTCCTCCTCTCCCATCCTGGCACCCCAGCTAGGCTCATATTCCCTTTGTGCAACTCTTCAAGTTTGCAAGACAAACGTGCGCCAGCCCAGCTTCCAACCAGGGGCTCCCCCAAACCTCGTTGAAGGGGGACCCCCGAAGGTATGTGTATGTGAGGGTGTCTTTCTCAGGGTGCAAATAGGGGCAGGGAGAAGCTACCTTTCACCTTAAGCACTGCGTCTCCAAGGGAATCCCTCTCTCATTTGCACCTTTTCTAAGACTGCTGGGTGCTTGCGCAGTGCTGAGTTGGCTTGGTTCCCCCCCCTCATGGTTTTCTCAGCACTTCTTCAGCGTGCTGGGTCTTTGGTTTGTTTTGCTGGAAGGCTGAGTTTAGGATTGTCTCTTTTCCTTCCCACTTTCTTAGAAGCAGAAAGTCACTGGTCTAATCTAATACAATAGAAATAAAGTGCATTATTTATTGGTTTGTTTATTTAGAAAATTTAGAATAAATGTAAGGTACTTGAATCATCCTGAAATCTCCCCCCCCCCCCGTCCATGGAAAAATTGTCTTCCATGAAACTGGTCCCTGGTGCCAAAAGGGTTGGGGACCTCTGGCCTAGGTAACAGTCGCATAAGAGGGAGACTAACCCACAGCTGCATAGTGGGCGGAGCAAGAGGCTTAGAGATTCTCCTTAAGTTACCATGCTATAAAGGTGATGGCCAAAGAATTGTACTTTTGGACTTGCAAGATTGTCCTAATGCAGCTTTACAATTATATGACCATATTTCCTGTCTGGTCTACTTGGTAAGGATGACACAGTCTTACTGATACTGGAAAAAATAATTTCATATACTGTATATCAGTGGTGGTGAACCTATGGGCGGCACTCGGAGCCTTCTCTGTCAGCACACGTGCCGTTGCCCCAGCCTTGCCTCCCCCGTGACCCCCTCACCAGCAGCCCTCCTGGAGGAGAGTCACCCCCGAGCGTGGCCCACGCGGAGCAGTGCAGCCAAGGACATGGCAGCCAGGCAGCGTAGACAAGACTCTGCCCTCACGCTCCATTGCGCACAGTTGATGCTGCGGGGCGCAGGCAGAGGCCGTGGCTGTCATGGCGCTGCTGGGCAATCTGCGGTGGGCCCTGGAGACTATGAGTGGCCCTGTGGGCAGGCAGGGTGGGGGCGGAGCAGGGGGTGGAGTGGGGGCGGAGCCAGTTTTTGGGCACTCGGTCTCTAAAAGGTTCGCCATCACTGATGTATATTTTTTGTAAGTTTTTGTTGTAACTTTTGTTGCAGATGCCAAAAAAAATTAAATAGCTAATATGTTCTTGCCCCCCCCATACACAATTTGGCCTCCTTTCCCTGACCATGTTTTCCTTTGCCCTTCAGATATCTGGTAATCCTCTCTTTACCTCACTGTCCCACCCCAATTGCCAATACTGTAGTGACAATCACAAAAAGAGTATTCTCAGTAGAAAGAGTTATTAAAGAGTTATGATTTCCAAGGCCTAGAGAAAGAAAACAAAAGTATAGCAAACATTTCACATTAACTGACAGCCTTTTTCAGTCTGTTTTACCAATGATTGAAAGTTGTGAGATGGAGGTGCCGGATACTTTTAAAAATATGTGGCTACCAGATTGCTGCAATTACCAAATCTGCTCTTTCTGCCCTAAGTGGTAGTCTGAATCAATTTCAATTTATTATTACAGCTGAAGGCCAACACATAAATTAAACATTC